CCTTTCCCCCCTCCCTTTCCCGTTTTAGTATATTTGCAAGAACCAGTGAACACAGAAATGTGCAGCCAGCCCGGGCCCTCGGGCCGGTGGATCAAGATGGCAGGCTGGCCCGGGCTCCCCCGGGGATAGCAGAGCCAGAAGGGGGATTGGACACAGTGACCTGTCTGCATGAGATGAGACAAAAACAGGAGGGCTGTAATGCTGATGAACTAACCTGTCACTCACAAGCTCAGGTCTGAGAAAAAAAAAAATAAAAGAAAAGGAAAAAAAAAAAAGATGAGGGAAAAAAAAAGAAAAAGAAAAAAAAAAAGAAGAGAAAGGTACAGCACAGATTTTAGACAGCACACAGGGTAGAGAAAATACAGCATAATTGGAATAATTAGATGACGCATTTAATTACCTGTTCATTTAGATGGGCTCAGGATCTATAAGGAATATGGCATAAAATTCCAGCTAATAGTTTCTGTAAGAGCAAAACCCATTTGAAGAAATAACGGGTATTATATGGTTCAGCGTGGAAGGAAGGATGCTACAGACTATTGCTGACAGGGATCGGGGTTTCATTCCAAACACTCCAGTTATGAATCAAAATCACAATGAGCAATGAGCTTCTAGATCTTGACACACTGGGCAAGGAGGTTGTTCTTCAGAGTACTTGCCTGTTTAATTGCTTGCTTGGGGGGAGGAAAAAATCCAGAGGGAAGGTATAGAAGCAATTCCGCACCTTGGAGCCTGTACACCCAGGTGCTAGGTAATGGTCAGGATTGTAGCACTCTGCCTACTATTGCCATCATCAGCGGGTGCCACTGTGGACACTGGAGCTTGGAGACAGAGGAAATCAAAAATAATTTAAAAAAAAAAAAAAAAGAGTGGAAAATGCATTTAATGATGAACAAGTACTTGGTGTTGAAAATGCCTTTAAATCAGCATGCTCCTGCTATTACTCGCGTGTCATACACAGACTGGTGTTTGAACTACAAATAACTGCTAGTGTTTCTGATCTCCGTTGGAGCAGAGATATACATGTATAGTTTGGATTTTTAATTAGGCCAGTTCACACTCCATTAGCAGCAAACAAGGCTGAATTTAAAGCTACATCTGCAGGATTAGTCAAAACAAAATTTAGTTCTCGCAGCTGGAGAAAAATGCCATTCAGAAATAAAAAGGCCAAATGATAAACATTTATTTAAAGTTTTTGCTTTTGGAGGTTTGAAAGTTAACAAGTACTCTTAAGAACTTTTTCTAAAACAATAGGGTCAGGAAAGGAATGTATCTTCTAAAAATATACACATAGTGTATATGCAAATCTTTATTATTTATCAGTACTAAATATAGATTTACAGTGTGGAAAGATTTTATGGCATAGAGTTTGTCTTTTCATAGTTATTTTCTCTTGTCAGCTGAGTATTACAGTCCATAGAGAAAGTCTATTTCTATTTTCAGCAATGTATAGTAATTATACTGATTGCTCTGTGCTTCCCAAGTTTTAAGTAACTCTTATTATACAACTAGAAAATACACCATTTCTATCTGGAAAAAAAAAAAACCCAAACCTATTTTGTTCTATTTTCCCATGTAGCTAATAATAACCAAACACTGGACAATTCGTCAAAACCAAAACATACTTGAATATTTTGTGGATTTATGAACACATTTGGATGTGCCCACTTACACATATAATATGTAAATATGCACGCGTACAGAGCTAAAATAAAATGTTTGAAACACCTAACATAGTAAGTTGCACTATAATAATATCCATAGATTCTGATATAAAAATGCCCAAAGAAGTTAGTCACCTGAAATAGTGAAATGTATTTTTCTCTGAAGTGCATGCCCTTGTTATTGATTTTTAGGAAATGAAATACTCTAAGACACAATATAAACATTTTTCCAGACATTCACCGAACTTTTTTTTTTTTTTTAATTGATGAAATATGGAATGTTACACACAGAAAAAAACATGCTCCTACCCTTTCCAGCCTCAAAACCACTTTCCGAGAGGTAGCGAGCTTTAAACATAAAATAGCTCACTTACAGTTTCTTACATGCCAAAGCAAAAGTTAGATTAAAGAGATATTACAAGCTTTGAGATTTATCCAGGTTTCAGGGCGCATTTTCTGTCAAGGGTACTTGCTCAAAATCTTGCCATTGTATCTGCCTTAGAATTACTAAATGTATTTCTTTAAGACTGAACAAGTTCACACAAAAAGGTAATTAACCCGCTTTAAAATACACATTTTCACACAATGCAATACTAGCAAACATGCCCCACTTTTTAGGTATAAGCCAGCCTAATAGAAAGCTGTTAATGTTTGGGGGATTTTTAATAAAAAATGTATCTTCTATTTTTAAAATATTTAAAGCAATAAAAGTCTGTGGTAAACATGGTATTACATATTTGACATTTTCCGCCCAGAAATGCATTACTGTGTACGATGGTATTAATAAACCATGTGCTTTGAGGGACTTCTGTGCTTTGCCATAATTTAGTTGAAAACAGCGTGTAGGATGCATATTTTTCCACCATTGTATCAACATATAGGAAACACAAATACTATGTCATCACCTCAGCAGCATGCGTTCACTACACTGGAAACATATGCAAAAAACCCACAAACTTTTGAGAGTTCAAAAAATAGCCTTTGCCACAGACTGATTTACAAGTCAGTAGTTAATGAGAAAGTGCTGAGCACTTAAAATTTTGTTAGAAAAAGAAAACACACAGACACCCTTATCCGACTCCGGCTGCATTCACAGGAAAACAGCCCTCCCTGTACTACAGGACAGAGTAATTTAATTTCTTTCCCCACTTCAGGTTATTATTTGAAGCAAATGAAAAGACAAAGATTCTTCTCTCTCCTGGCTAAAGCTAGAAACAGCACGGTTAAAACACACACATAAAAAACTACAGACTTATCAGAAATCACAAAACAGAAAGAGAAGGACTCACTGACCCATTTGGAAGACAAAGACGACAAAACGGAAAAGCTCTAAAAATCAGCTTGTGAGGCCTTTGAGAGATATTCTTCTGGCATTTCATCACAGCAGCCCCAGACCAGTTCACTTCCCTGGATACAGGGAGGGAGAACTAAATAGAGCTGTTTATTAAAGCTGTTGTGCTGGATTGCATTAGGAAGCACGAGCAGACCACCTGGACCTTTCAGATTGTGGCAGTGTTTAATTTGCAGGCTGCCCCTCTGCAGCAGCAAAGACTCCTACATTTACCAAGCTCAATCACACATTATCTGGGTTAGGAGTAAAAGAAGAAAAAAAAGAAAAATGAAAAAAAAAATAAATAAAAAAAACCCCACAGCCTGTAGTACAGGAATACAGTCAATATAGAAATAATGAACAGCATTAGAAATAGAAAGCAACTCCCCAGCAAACATAACACTTTCACTCCTTAGTTCTTCCACTTCAGCACATTTAAGCAAAATACAACGGTAGATTAATAAATAGATTGATTTGGCAAAGCTCAGACTAAATTATAACCCGGGTTTATTAGCAGAAAAGCATGGTATTTTAGGTTTAACTAGTGATTCCCTGGCCAGATTATTGTGGTTCTTTTGCCTTTCTCACTTTCAGCACTACACTCACTGGTAGCTGAAGATACAGATAGAAAGATGGTACTGTAAATATGAATTATGTGAATCATATGGTTAGACCCTTGTGGAAAAAAAAAAAAAAAATAAAAGGGGAGTTGAGAAATGGCTGACTCCATACCTGACCAATTACAGCTTGCATGGTCCCTGTGTCCTGCTGAGCTGAAAGATCGCAATCCATCATATGTAGTCTTTGAAAAGGAGAATGGGGGTTTCTGGCATGCATCTGTCAATCAACTTCTGCACTCACAACCATCACCAAAAGCAAGGGAAAAAAAGTCAAGCTGCTCCACCAAATAGGATGAAACAGTCATGTGACCTTCAGCACACTCACACACATACATACTTCCATACAACGTATGAATTTTCTGCAGATATGAAATGACATTGACAAATACCCAATACCAAGTAAATAAAGTGAGACAAACAGCTACTCACCAAAGACAAAACACTTGCTGTAATCTTCAGCCTAAAGATTTAATAAACCTAAAAGGTGTTTTTAGAAGCGAGGCTTTTCTTTTGAGCCTAAACTTTTCAGATAAGGTGATATAATTTTATATATGCAGACAGTGGTCAGAACTTTAACCCCTCGCGTGCTCCTGCAGCCTCTATTTTTTTATTCTCCCCTTTGTACTTTTACTCCATGGCTGTTTTGAGTTCCTGATTTTATTTTATTTTTTTCCTTTAAGTTTCTTTTGTGTCAAAAGGAAGAGGCTTGCATTGCCTCCTTTGGACATGCACAAATTATGAGAACTTGATAGAAGAAAATTGCTAACAGGAAAAAAAAATAAAAGGAGCAGGGGCTGAGAAACCTGTGTCGGTACTCACAAGCCACACCGTGTCTCACTGCTTTACTCCACCAGAAGTCAAATGTTTTCTTTATTGGAGACATATATTTAAGTATTAGTTTATGCGAGCTGCGATGAGCACTCAAAATATAAAATATTCAGACTATGTAAATCCTACTTACGGAATCCTTTCCATTTTGAAGGTTAGCAGAGTTTTGGTTCATTCACTGCTCCACTGAACTGACATAAAATGTTGTTACTTATGAAGGCAAACATTACCATTTTTTTCTAATGGAAGCGGTTTGTTTCATATATCTTCCCCTCCGAGTTAAGATTTGCAAGAATTTCCAAGACTATTTTTTTCTTCTTGTCAAAATATATCAGCCACTTGTCTCCAAAAACTGAGTGTCGTGAACAACACGCTGCAGCATTGATTGCTGATATGTTATTGGCCAGTGATTGCTGAAGGGTGACATTAATGTAACCCGGTAGCACTTTAACCCTTCGGAGATCAATCGAGTCCTCTGGCAATACGGTAGAATAAAGCCCAGATCATTTTTGCTGTATTACAGCTTCATCTAAATATTGGTACATCTTTCTGCCCCCTTTAAATCGCGTTTCTGTTACTAGTGCAAACAACCTGCTTCTCAAAGACTGTCAGAAGCAGAAATGAGGAAAAAAAAAAGCAATTCAGTCTCTAATCTTACTATAATGCACCCTTTCCCTTTTTAGTACTTTTCTGGCAATATTTTGAAGTTATTATCTCATTTTTAACAGTATTGACATTATTGATCTTAGCATGTGATAGCCAAAGTAGTGTGAGAATATCAACAATATTCCAGCCGTAGGCACAGCACTTGCCAGTCTAATATTTCCTACAATATAGTTTTAAGATCCAACATCCAGGAGTGTTTGGAATGTGATTGAGCACGTGTATGTCTATGTATATGTGTAGACATATGTATATATGCATGCATGTATAGAGAGAATTTATGCTGAGGTGAGTGAGACAGCCAGGGAATATCAAGTTTGCTTTGCATTCTTCGAGATTGTATAATAGAATTTATAATTATTTTTTAATTACTAAGAAAAATGTTAAGAAAGGAAGTTTTGGTATGGATTTCAAAAATCAGAAACAAGAAAAGAATTCACATGTAGATGCACGGGCACCCAGAAGTGCTCCTAGGCCAACAAGATATTTTATCTTTAAAAGTTTTCGAAATCAAGCATTTTTGAGAGATACACAATATTAACACTGAAACGCTGCCTCTAGGATGAGAAAGGAGCACTTGAAAATGGTGCTTCCAACATCTGCTCTGCATTTCACTTACAAACATAATTAAAATGCACCATTTGTGCTGAAATCTTATCTGCTTCTTACTCATGAAAGAAAATACCCTGAACTAATACCTCGGGCTGCCTTTTGGTCAGCTGAGGATTCGTTGCGGTCTCATCCCTCAGGATGATTCTATGGATAAAGCAAGGGGTGTTGTGAAGGCCATAATCAACATCCAGATCTTCGCCAGCAATCCCAAACGCCGCTGGTGATCGGGGGAGGCTGCCTCTAGGAAAGTAGACACGCTGAAGGAAAATACATGAATTTGAAAGGAAAGTTAAGGATGTTTATTTTATTGCTTGTCTTCAGGAGGGGCCTTTTTGCAGTGGGTACGCACAAACTCCCTTTCCAATTCCCTTAACTTATCTAAGCAACTAAACCTGACAATTACTACTGTGGGTTTTTTATGAGCAAAAGACACCGACCTAGACGTAGGTTGCAGCACAGGAACAAGCAAAGTGTTGTATCCACACAAATCTGCTGCGCCCTAACGCAGCAACAAACCAACCAGATGCTTGTGCACGCTCGGGCAGAGCTGCAAGAGCTCCTTCCTCCCAAAGTGAGGTAGATGCTGCATCTCCTTTTACCATGATTAACCTACTCTGCCAAGAAATGCCAATCTACTCCATAAAATGTAACACAACGTCCCTGCAGCTAGTGCCTCTGCATAAGCCACAGCATCACAGGATCACAGAATGATCTGGGGTTGGAAGGGACCTCTGGAGAGCATCTAGTCCAACCCCCTGCCAGAGCAGGTCCACCCAGAGCAGGTTGCACAGGAACGTGTCCAGGTGGGGCTTGAATGTCTCCAGAGAAGGAGACCCCACCACCTCCCTGGGCAGCCTCTTCCAGGGCTCTGCCACCCTCACAGGAAAGAAGTTCCTCCTCATGTTTAGGTGGAACCTCTTATGTACAAGTTTGTGCCCATTTCCTCTTGTCCTGTCCCTGGGCACCACTGAAAAAAGCCTGGCCCCATCCTCCTGACACCCACCCTTTAAGTATTTATAGGTGTTGATCAGTATTTATGGGTCCACCCTTTAAGTATTTATAGGCCTTGATCAGTATTTATAGGTGTTGATCAAGTCACAGCATCACTGTGACTTACGCAAGCCTAAACAGATTAAGAGCCTGCTCTGCTGCCCCTGGAGCTGCCCTTACCCCCCTCTGGAGCTGGAGACCTTTTCCCTCAGCCAAATCTACCTGGTCCTGTAGGGTCTGCACAGCCAGTCCCTGGGCACTGTCCCAACTTCACCGCTCATCCTTTGGGCCTTCCACCGGCCATTCCCCAAAAGGTGCCAGTCTCATATCTCTTTTTACTTGCTGTGAAGAATGGTCTCCCTAACTCACCCACCCCCAACACCTCCTTGCTTTGCTGCTTGAAAGGTGATTTAGCTCTCCTGGCAGCAGTCAAAAAGGTGAGGGAGGAAGGTGACTCCCCTGACCTGACGGGAGACCTTCTTGCGCTCTATAACTAGCTGAAGGTGGGGTGTAGAGGAGCGGGGGTTGTCTCGTCTCCCACGTCACAGGAGATAGGACAAGGGGAAATGGCCTCAAGTTGCACCAGGGGAGGTTCAGATTGGAGATTAGGAACAATTTCTTCATGGAAAAGGTTATCCAGCATTGGAATGGGCTGCCCAGGGAAGTGGTTGAGGCACCATCCCTGGAGGTGTTCAAAAGACGGGTTGACATGGTCCTCAGGAATATGGTTTAGTGATTTTTTTTTATTGCTTATTGCTTATTTCTTATTTATTTTTTTGTCAGAGATAGGCTGATGGTTGGACTGGATGATCTTTAAGGTCCCTTCCAACCTAGAGGATTCTATGATTCTAATCTCCCACAGGACAGACTCGGGTGGAGAGCAGGGTGAAAAAGGGGAATTTGGCAGGCCGGGTTCGCTCGAACGCTGCCGACTTGAGGAAAATCCTTGAAGGACAGACTGAGAAATATTACTTCCCAACCAGCTGTGCTGTATCCCCTGCAGAGACCTCCTGGTCTCCTTTGAAACTTTTTATCCATGGCTCACCCTCAGCATATATATCTATATGGCAGCTATGCCTTCCTATGTGCCACCACAGCACCTGGCACAACGGGCCAGTTTTGCATTGTTGGACCTAAAATTCTTGAGATGGGGGGCAGCGATCAGGGCTGGAGGAAGGTCTGTTATACCTCTAACCCATGAGAGAGCAAATTTGCAGTGGTCCAAAGGGTCCAAAGGATCTCCAGCATCCAGGAAAAGCCGCAGTCCCTGGTGACACCAAAAGCTTTCTCCCTTTTAGACTCGACTTTTTTCTCCGATCACTTATCTGCAGTATACTTCCCCTCTTTAATTGAAACAATA